CTGTAGGAAAAAAAGCTTAGTAAACTGAAATTTAACTTTACAAAGTAACTGAGAATCAAGTTAAATATTCTTAAGAAGGTAAGAATAAACTCTGTCCACAAGAATGGCACACCAACAATTCCCGTCGACAGTCCAAGATTTGAGCCGCCTTCATTCACTCAAACAAAATCACATCGTAAAGTAACGCACCATCAGTGTTTCACATAACCACAAAGAGAAGCAATAAAATAAGAGATTAAAAAGGGACCAAGACAATTAATAAAGATAGAGTCAACATATGATATGTAAATACCATAAGAATGATTTACAGTCTAGGCGAAAAACGGATAATTATTACAAAATTAATTGAAGAATCCAAATAGGTATAAATATTATAATTAGATCGTTTAGGAGAAGTTTTCTAAGGAATTAATCTGTTAAAGTATATATATATACCTAGTCATTTTTGATTATATTTCTCCTTGAAAATGAAAACGATCATCGTTTAAACAAGCTTTATTATTACACACCTTACTTGAATTAATAATGTGAATATTGCCAAGTTCTCTAAAACAAATGTTATACAATCACGAACTACCAAGAGTTAAAATGAGATTATATGAGATAAAAATCCTCAATAGTTTTGCATTGAACACATTGGCTTGACACTTTTTACTCTAGGCGAAGACAGATTGCATTAATAAACCTGATATACTAAATACTGAATAGCTGCAGCAACCCCTTAACATTTTAGCCCGGTAAACTAACTTTAAACAGGACGAATTTGTGTGGTAAGCTTGTTAGATTATTACAGGAACTTAAAAGGGGTTTCAGTAAAAAATCAAAATAAGAACATGTCAGTCAGGTATACAGTTATTTAGGAGTAGCTTGAAAATCCCCATTGAGTTATATGAAAAAGAGAAAACGTTCAGCGAAGAGACTCTTTTCGGCGAATTCATTCATACAATCGCATTTATATATAATTATTTGTGTGTGTGTGTACATGAGGTTTGTCAAGTTAAGATAATTGATCAGGTAATACAAGAATGATCTAATATAGAAACAAGGTTAATCAGACAGCAACTAAGGTAAGATTGAGTTAGTAAGTTAGATGACGTAATATAGTTGACTAAGACGTTTCAACTTAGGTCAGGGTAGCAACAGAGGTAATCACAGGCAGAGACTAAGTAGAAGTGGGGTAGAGAATAATGCCACTTAAATTAGAACTGAAATTGATCAAATAAGTTGGATAATGTAACACGAATGACTAGAAATTGAGCGTTGATCAATTCAATAACAGTGGTAGTGAGGTGTAGAAATTAAATTGGGTGTAGGGTAGAGAACAAGAAAGTTGAAAATGTAAAATATTACAATTGAGAAGACAAAATAAGACTAATGAAAAGACAGAAAAATAGATTAGGTAGAATTTACTTGTCGGGTAATAAGATAGATTACATCCACTGCAAGTGTAGTGATTGAACGAACTTCTTCTGTATGCAGAGTTTAGGATTTAGCAAGTTATTTAGGAGTCTATATATGCAGTATTAACTGACAAAAATATCACAGGTTATCATCAATTAGTAACAAAAGTAGGTCAGTGTATGAGAATGAAGAAAACCTGACAACTAATACGTTAAGCGTTGAATAATCAGCTGGTAATGATCAATAGAACTCAAAAGAAAGAAGCACTAAATAGAGTTCGAAACCAATCAAAAGAATATAATTATTATACAAGTTTATTTTGCTACAGATTAGGAAGCCATAATTGAAGGTAATATAAGAGGCTGGGTGTAACGCTTCTGAAAACAAAGTTCAGGTGTTTTCTTATGAACTTCTGGAGCTTCGCTTGCATGAAGAAAATGCAAGTGGAATCCTTTTGAACTTTAGGCTTGAACTTAATTTGTACATTCTTACTCCAAATGACTATGAAACTCATATTTAGCCATTCTAAACGCATTCCGTAATCCAGTGAAAGAATTATCTAACCGTAAGTTACTTATGACGTAGAAATAGTATTGTTTTTTTTTTATTTCTTCATAATATTTACTTATGCATATGCATAGATATATATATGTACATAGAAGCATAAACCAATCTAGATGGTTTGTCAGTCAGTGATAAAATATATAACTACAATGCAATCATTATTTACAATAATGGTAGTGTGTTGATAAGAATAATAAAACCAGCTTACTACTACTTCAAACAGATGTTTCAATCATCAAAGTTAATCAGAATCTTTTTTAAAAAATTATTATTATTATTGCGTAATGCTAGAGAATGAAGGAAGTGGATAAACAAAGTTTTAACATAAATTCAGTAGGCCTATGAGATAACAAGTACATATGCTAAGTTCTGTTTTCATATTTCGAGTTCATAGCGTTAATTATTTACCTCATCTGTAACACATGTGGGGAAAATTTGAGTAGCTGCCCCCACCAAGATCCCTTCCAAAATGGAATAATGTTTCAGTTTCGCTCACTCATAAAGATGTTTCTATTTTGATTACAGCCTGATGCCACACCATATTCTCAGTACAAGTATGAAATTTTAAGTTTGTGATATCGGTAGCCCAAATTTTTCAGGCCAACAATAGATATCAGGTGTGCGTTGGGAGGGGATCGAACCCCGGACCATGTGCGTGGTCGGTGAGAGTCCTAACCACTGAGCCACCGACGCAGAAGGAAAACAACATATTGGTATAAAACGTAACGAATACAGGACCTCATCTAAACATAGAGAAGACAGAGCTGATTGAGAAGCGCAACTGAGAGCACCAAACACTAATCGGCATCGACTGAAGAAATCCAAAGGAATACACTTATTCCACTTACCTGACTTTGGCAGCATCGTTACAACTGCAACCAGCACAGATGAGAATTCCAAACGTAATCAAATTTGGATAGGGATAGCAAGACAGGAATTCATTGACCCAAAGTTAGTGTTTAGATCTTTAATTCTTACTCAGAGGAATAAAATTCAACTGCTAACACTGGTATCGTTCCAATTTTTATATATGATTTAGAGACTTCCATTGTAACTGAAAGCATTTCGCCTCGAGTTGAACAATTGGCAAATTACGAAAATGATCCCATGTAATGCCAGTCTGCAAAAGTTGCTAGCCAGAATCTGACTGGTTTTAACTAATTATTCGGTTCAAGATGAATCAAACAGAGTAGTCCGCTGACGAGGTCAACACAAGGTGGGCGAAATGGGGGTTTGGTGTTTCATTCATCACTGTATGACTAGCGAATAATATTGATTGATGTGAGTGACATCTAACTCTTCACCAATGGTTTATAAAATCAAGCATTTTCGGTAAACCACAAAGTCATCAGCACCTCCCTTCCCTTGACACCAGAAATCAAATAACCAACCGGTAGGGATAAACAGCAAAGAACCCTAGCAGTGGCGAACAGACTGAGAACCTATTTCCCAGTAAGTAAGGGGGAGGAAGGGGAGACCATCTAGTGAAATCACATGCTAAACCTAGAAAAGAATTCGAGGGGGTAAGATGAGCTGTTCGTCAGGGGGTAACACGCAGCAGGTCATGTGAAGAGGACTTGAAAGCTTTTGGACAGTTGTATATTCGATTGTAACTGTTTTCAGAGTACCCAGCTGAATAAGAACTTCCCCGGCGAATAGGTACCTGAAACTCTAAGTTCCACTTGGAATGCAAAGCATCTATAATAAAAAAACGTGGGATACTTTGTGTTTCTTGCATTAAAGCCTTGTTCACCGTACCATCCACCTAGTCAGCTGATCTGAATACTTAAACATAACCGGTTCGAAATCAGAATAAATAAACATTTTAAGCAAAAAACTGCATGTGAACATTTTAATTATCTGATGTTAATCTTTCTGTGCACTGGACACATAGGTCACTCATCCTATACATGTTTGTAGGGTGAACTGCAGTCCACTGTGTTATCTATGACTGTCACAAACACAAGGAAGATGATATTACCACACTTGAAGGGTAAAAATTGAATTTTCATGGATTCATTTGGTAAAAATAAGTGTTTTTACTCAAATATCATGACATAGTAAGATTATTTTCCAGTTTCGTCGCCAGCAACTCCACTGCTACTGACGAAACTTCAAAGTCCCATCTGACACGTAAAGGCATCTTTAAAAACTGCATCATTAATATTAAAGGTGTGCGTCGGTGATCCAGTGGTAGAGCACTCGCCAAACACACACATGGTACAAGGTTTAATCTTCGGCCAACGCACTTCTAACCTAGTTAAACTGGTAGTCAGTTCGGTGAAGAGGGAAGCTTGGACGTAAGGCTAGCCACCCCTACCACAAGGAAATAGAACCAATGCTACCGAAACTTTAAAGCTCTACCCTAAAAAGTGAAGGGATAAAATAACAATAATTTATATCATCGACTACGTTTACCTTTTAGCTCACTTTGCATGTAAATTACACTTCATCTCTAACAAATTCATTTCCTAGGAAAAGAGTCATCAATCAATATTCCCTGAGACTTAACTAAAGAAAATCTTAAAATATTCCTCTTTATCTCTCTCTCTGAAACGACTTCAGGCGGTCACAGTTCAACATCCTTGTATTTAGCATTTAACTAAATATTAAACTAAATAACGCAATAGTTTATTTGTATTTTTAATAAGAGTTTGCAAATATTTTTTTAAAAGAATCTAAAGTCACCCACACACACACAAATTTACATTTTCTAGATTATGAATTCTATTTCGGACAAAGTTCATCATATTTCCAAAATGATCTGACTTCTAGACAGTACAAAGAGGTTAACTTTCACTTATTTTCTCTACCTCGCCTCCTCCTTTTTGTAGGTCATATATACGCATATATGATATCACGCGATTCTATTCATCTGAGTCATATTTGTCTAGAAAAGGTCAATAAAAATAGAATGATAATTTCTAGTTCATCAGGAATGTCGGTATCGTTTGAATGGCATGTAAACTAATAAAAACTAATCTTGATATAAATGCTGATGAAATAAATAAGTAAATAAATGAAAATATATTCACCTTGGTGTCTTTTGCTTAAGTGTCATTCAAACCAGACTGATGTAGTTTTCAGTCAAAAAATCACATGAATTTTTGTCTTCTGATGAAAACATATCTGAATTTTGTTCCATTTGAAATAAGAATATCTAGTATTTAGTATTTTGCTGAAAATGAAATAAATTTAAGTAGAAAGAATGCTACATTCATATTTCATGCGGTCAATAATAATATATATTCTCATTTATCTGATGAAATGAACTTTGTTAAGTATGCCGATGATCTAACTATTTCAGCGTCTGTTGACTCCCAGCTTGACTGTGCTAAGATGATTAGCTTTCTACAGGAATTAGCAAATGGTCTTCGTGTAACGGCCTTAAACTAAATCCTTCCAAATGTCAGACTGTTAATTTAAGTTTCCGATGCAAACGAAAGTTAAATGAAGCCACTGTTTCACATAACCCTTGCAAAATTGATGATACTGATATAGAAATCAAGTCTGAAGTTAAGTATCTTGGATTAATTCTTTCTTCTGACCTATCCTGGTCTTCCCATGTCTTAGCGATTTCTAAAAGAATATTTCGTCTGACATTTTACATAAGAAAGTTGAAGCACTCAGGCATAACCCAACCCCTCCTTTTACAGTTTGTCAACTCGCGTATTTTACCTATTCTACTTTACTGTTCGCCATTATTCTTTCCTGGACTGCTTAAAAAAGACTACATCATACTTCGTAGAACTCTGAAGACTGTCAGTAGGACGAGTGGTATCCCATTAGGCCATATCGTTGACATTGTCACGGATAGGCATTTGATGTCATGTAACAAATTTGCTAAAGGAATTTTTTCAGACTCTCAACACTCACTTTACCAGCAGCTCCAACCTTGTGTCTCCTCAGGTAAAACAAGAATTCTTTTCAGAAGACTTAATGCATGTACGTTTAGGCATAAAAATTCCACCATACCATATTTGGCATGTACTTTATGTGATGAAAATAGTGCTAGGGATGAACTAACTAACCTTCTTTGCACTACTCAATAAATTATTTCTTCTACCTTTACAGTACCAAACTTTATAGTTAATGTATTTCTTATATTTATAGTCCTCTCAATTTTTTGTTTTTGTTTATTTTTTTCATAGGTGTGAACATAATTTAAGCTGTGTTATAACTGCTAATTTTGTATTTCCCCTCACTATACTATATCAAAAGAACATTAGATCCAATAATCTATAACATGCTAAAGTTTCCAAACCGAATCGACAATAACGTTTGAAACAAACTCACTGTTCTTATTATTGTTATATTTAATAGTCTCAATTCGTGCTTCAAATATTTTTGACTTTATACCATAAAAGTGGACAAATTCCTCTGGTTACTTTTGTTTTTATTTTATTTATATTTTAAGTAAATCAGATGCAATATTGTGACAAATGCTGAGAATTCTACTCTGTATTATAAGTACTGTTTTTGGAATAAAGTAGATTATTATTATTACTTAATTCAATTTTAGATTTTTCCGTCGACTGAATAGACCGAAGAGCTCCATCTCAGGTGGAAACATCATCACTCACTGCGGTATGCGGTACATCCAGATGATGAGTGCCAAATGGAACGAAATGCGCTTCGTAGATTCCACTCTCAGTCGCCAGCCACCAATTAATTTATATTCTCATTTGTTTGTACATGAGGAAGGCCAGCTTTCAGATAATATCAATATGAAAAATAATCTGGACCATGGATTAAGCATATTTATAATTATTCAATCACACAAGATATATAACACATGGTAATAGAATAACTCCATATCAATTTGTTTATTAGATATATCACACAGTGTGAAACAGTATTATTTACTGGATGACAACATTTCGAACACAATTTATTGTTTATAATCGTATCAATTATAACCATACAACTCCAAAACTTTTGTTTTTTTTTATAGTTTTCTTTATTCTTTCCTATTTATCTTAGGAAAAGTAGAATTTTCTAGATATCTGAGACAGGTTTTGAATCAATCCTATTACATGTGTTTACAGTGGATTTCGTAAATGAAGCTTTCCCTACGACAAATAGAAAAGAATAAAGAAAGCAATAAAAGTGAAGTTTCGAAGTCGTGTGATTATAACTGTTTTGATTATGAACAATAAATTGTGTTCGAAACATCATCCAGAAAATAATACTGTTTCACTGTGTGATGCATCAAATAAACAAATCAATTTTGAATTACTTATTACCACAGTGGTCAATCTTCACACATATAGTAATGGAATAACTTCAGTAAGCTCAATTTATATAGTTGAAAGTAATTTACACCATATAATCCTAGATATGCTTGTTGTTTAAATTTAATTGAAATGCGCGCAATAACTGAGGGCTACGTTACATGTGTTTGATACAGTATGCTATTTACTAAAGTATAAAAATGGCTCGCGAAAGGTTAGTTAGTTAGTTTACCGAGAACACTGTTTGCATCACCATTATTTACAAGTGGATCACTCACTACAGTGGTTAGTGTCCGGTTAAACGTGTAAAGAAGTATTGCTACTCAATCATAATCAGCAACAGGTTTACTTTTCAGTTCATTCGTAGTTAGGAAGCAGAATAATTGCAAATTAATCCATATGAAATGAAAAAATGAAGCATAATGCTACTGAATATTACCATCAGGTGACTCAGTGAGATTTAAAATGTAACTATCAGCATATTTTCATTATTTCTTAGATTTCCAGATTGATAGGCGCTCTGTAGGTAGTGATTGGTATTTTTCCGGATAATCAGCATATAGATGAATTATGCAGATGTGAGCATTTAGTTAATTCGATTTGGTATGAGTTGTGATTGCTCTACATTCCACAACGTATCGCTGTGTTCACTGGTAGTATATATATATACTTTAGATGCATTATTTCGTGTACTTTTACCACCTTTGAGTACATGCTGGATATTTAAAGAGTTTAAGGATTTGAGTTGTACCAGCGGGAATTGTGGATTTACATAAATCATCGTCAAAGATAGCTCCTTGACCGGGAGTCGAAACCAGGACTTCCACGTGGCAGGTGGAGACACTCATCAGAGTAGCAGAAAATTTATTCCCGTTGATAGATGGTGATTAATAGTGGAATCTGAAGATCACCAGCTGGACAAAGTTGTATTCATTTAAGTGGTTATGCCTGGCACTTAAATCAGTAGGTACTGCATTCAACTCAGCGGCGCAACGGTAGCTTGCTGACATTCAGGTTCAAATCACTGATAAATTCAAATTAGAAGGGATCCCTTATTCTTGTTTGATATTCCCCAAACAAAAAGTTATATCAGATTATTGTGAAAGACACAATCAACTTATCCATTCCAGAGGCCCGTATTTCAGGAGATATAAGGTGTTTCTATGTGACGAAATTAATGCATAAGAGTCACAGATTCCGAACTGTTTTGATTATAAAGATTGTTCTTTTTTCATTTCAAAAGGCTGGGTACCTAATAAATGGACTGTCCACCTGTTTTAGTTGCATACCAAAAAGATTACCCCAGTGGTGTCTGGTTTCCTCTCCGCCTCTAACGTATCAAAGGCATATGTTTTCCATCATGCTGCATTGAAATACGCTGACGTTTAGCATCACAGTTCTTCAGCCTAGCATAGCCTTTTCCATTGTAACTAAACATTAATCAGAATTTTAAAAATGATAACGCCTAGTTATAAGTTCAGATTAGGTTTGGACTAAAATATTTTCAGTAGTGTAATGTCAAAAAACAGTTATACGCTAACTAAAACTCATGAGAAGGTTAAGCCTTTGTTTGCTCACAAAGAGGATTGATCATATTTACGTTATTTGAGCATTCATCCACTTAATATATGGTCTGACACATTTCATTGTAGGACTTGAGCATAATATTTTCTGTCAGCAACATGATCACAAAATTCAACTAGTCTACCTTACTTCTGAAATCACCTGGCAGTACTTTTTTTGGTCGTAACATCAAACCGAAAAGTTCAGTCAGCTGGACATATTTTCTAATTATTATTTGTTCTTTAAACAGTACTTTCTACTACAGATCCGTCAAAATTGGCGAAAGATGCCAGATGGCTACAGTGGCCATTACGTTCATCGGTTAGTGAATGTTAAGAATCAACATAAAACATGCTGTCAAGTGACTTGCTACATGTCGGAGTTTCCTGGAGTTCTAGTGAGAAGTCGTGACCAGTGAGGTTCACCCAGATATCAGGTGTGAGGATGGATGTCCTACCGATGACATTGGTTGGTGATCGCGCTAAATCACGGATTGATAGAAGTTAGAATTCATGAGCCATTGAATCGGGTCCCAGTGGCTGAATGGTATACGAGCTTGCCTTGTAACCGAAAGGTCCTGGGCTACAACCCCAGTGGGTGCGTAGTGCCGATGATTTCCAAACTAGGATGAAACAGCTGTCCAGTACTGCCTGGTTTCCAATGGTTCTCGGACTGATATGAATCCGTGATCAACTCGTAAAAATAAATAAGAGTCTGAACTGATTACAAAGTGCTAAATCATTTGAATTAAAAGATGAAAACACATCCTTATCATCCTGATGACCACCTACCGCGAGTAGAAAATTGTGATTCCTGTTCCTAAACTCCTTAACTATGTCTTTTTTAGCCCAATATATAATTCACTACAGCTTTCTCCATGTCCTGTTTAATTAACTCGCGTTTTCAAAATAATCTTAGCAATACTACCCTAAATATTTCCACATATGCGCACGCAAACAATAATTTTTTGCCGAATTATGTTTCACTTTTGTGCTTTAAAATATTGGCCTGACTACTAATGAACTCGTCCATTTTTGAAAAAGTGACCAGTAGTTATATGTTGTATTGAAAGACGTTTATCTTCCTTATAAAGCGGTTTTGTAATTTTTTCCTTCACGTTCCCCGGTGAAATATAGGGCTTCAAGCTAGTGGCTTGAAGTTTCTTTAGCAGTGTTTATTTTACAGGATGGAGTTGCTAGTCTCATGCCCAACCTTTCCTCTTTACCAGCATTATTTTTGGCTTAGCGAGGTAAAGGAGTGCGTCCGGCGGCCGGTGATAGAACCCCGGACGATTGCATGGTCGGCGAGCGTCCTAACCGCTGTGTCACCGACGCACAAGGTTTTGAAATATACACTCCATTAAATGTACATGTAGGTTATATTGAATTTTCTTCAAAGGTATTAATAATATTGTTCCTTGAGGCTTAGAGTGAAATATAGGAATTTAACAGAATATCTCCATTTACCCTCTTTAGATGACCCCAATATTGCCCATAGGCTCTCACCTACTTCGCATACAATTGCCTCTATATCATCTACGGAGCCATACTTTACTAGTTGTTTCCCACTCCAGTTCATAATGAGTGCCTAGCGTGTGTCCGATTCATCTCTTTGACATGCTTGTTGAGCAGCAGGTTCTTGACACGTTAATCTTCACAGTTTCTCCTTGTTAATCCTTTCTTTTTAAGTAGCAACTGAAATTAATTCATGGTTAATATAATTATTATCTAAATTATTTCATTATACAAAAACAGTTTATGTAATACAGTATCTATATTCCTCACGAAAGGAATGTAATCCAAAATTCTTTCATTACTGAACATTTTCATGAAAAATATTAAACATATGCTTTTCCTTAGCACAAAAGTAGACTAACTTTAAAGAATGACTACACAAACATTTTATAATAACTACTGGTTTAGAATGATATTTTCTCATTTTGTTAGTTAAATGAATAATCATCATTTAATGACTCACAGATAGACATACATGAATACGAATAACAGTTGTTTGCATCCTACGCATCTGATTTAATACTACTGATGTTATCTAAAGTAGTTTTTCTATGCAATTACATCATTTAAACATCTGTGCTAACAATAAAACTCTTGACAAATAAAATATAATCAACTATTTTTCGTGAACAAATTCAACAAATATAGTTTTTAATTAAGATTAACCTACTATATCATATATTCTAAAGACTACTTGTTAATAGAAGTAGTCTTAAAAACAGTTCACATTGGGATTTTATTTTAACTTCATTCTTTCATATTCGATACGCAATAATGAATGAAGCTTTTCTTCAAATTACAACTACCTATGATGAGCTAATTATTACATAATCGTAGTTTCGCCTATTTTTAGACTATTAACGTCTCAATCTCTAATAAACTGGAAAATCAAACATAAATAAAAGCACTGAGAAGTTGTATAGTTCTGGTTTAGTAATCTTACATAAGAATCAGTTCTGTGGTTGATTTTAGTTTGTGTACCTTTCTACAGGACAAGACAGTTGATTCGTATACTCTTTAAAGGAAAGAAATATTTGCATTTTTCACTTCGTCGACAAGTAACTTTCTTTCCCAAGAGTCACTTAAGCAGAAGACGGTTACGCGAACAAATTTATAGTCAAACATTTGAAGAATAAGCAATTTAAACTGATCATTTATTCAACTATAGATGAAAATATCCTCACGCATTTCAAATTCATACTTCATTGGGCTTCTGACATCCAAAAAATTACTCCCAAAGAATCCATTCAGAAACAAAACTAAAACTGGATTCCATCAGATGTTAGTTGTCCCTGTCTTGGCGAAACACATCCTAACTAGTATCACCATCTTAATGTGCACCTTTAATTTCCTCTGATATAAAGCAAGACACTAGATAATTTAGCAAGAACACGAACACAAGAGCGAATTGCAGTATGATTTTACAAGGAGGGTGGAAGGATGTCTACAGATACACTCAGGAACTCTCAATCAACCCCATCATTCTACAAACGATAAATATCATTGATACATCATCTGACCAATTCACGCCAAATCGCCACGATTAATTCCCTAAAAGATATTTAAAGAAACCAGACGACCAAGCCATTCATCATTGCGACTCAAACATTTGTGTCACAAACAGGTGTACACAGTCACCATTATCAAACTGACGGCGGAAGGCTAAACAATCATTCATTCTTCAGTTCGCCCGGTTAATCTTTATACTCTCCCTCATCACTACAATCACCATCTCTGTCATCATTATTATTACTTGTCACCAATCTGAACAGTTCACGCCATCACCTCACTTGTCCCATTTACTATTTCAAGTCAGAAAATCCTTCACAATG